GGGCTGAGGCTGCTCCTGCCCCCCGTCCTGGACCCTGCACCGATTTCTGGAGCAGCCACAAAGCAGCCCAGAGTGAGCTCAGATGAGCAGGGGAGCTCAGCCAGGAGCAGCCAATGATCGGAGACCCCGACCGGGCTGGGAGACCCCGGCGGTGACAGTGACCCCTGCGGTGACAGTGACCCCTGTGGTCACAGTGACCCCTGCGGTCACTCCTGCCGGGCAGAGTGACCCCTCCCTGCCTCGGTGACCCCTCCTGGGCTCGGTCACCCCTCCTGAGCTCAGTGACCCCTGCGGTCACTCCTGCCAGGCTCAGTGACCCCTCCAGTCTCACTGACCCCTCCCAGCCCCCCCCAAAGCCCCCGAGGTGACCGCAGAGCTCACCGAGCACCTGGCCGGCGATCATGCGTCCGTCCTCTCCTGCCAGGCTCAGTGACCCCTCCCCAGTTCAGTGACCCCTCCAGTCTCAGTGACCCCTGCGGTCACTCCTGCCAGGCTCAGTGACCCCTCCCAGTCTCAGTGACCCCTGGGGTGACCCCTCCAGGGCACACTGACCCCTCCCAGCCCCCCCAAAGCCCCCGAGGTGACCGCAGAGCTCACCGAGCACCTGGCCGGCGATCATGCGCCCGTCCTCTCCTCCCAGTCTCAGTGACCCCTCCTGAGCTCGGTGACCCCTCCCTGGCTCAGTGACCCCTGGGGTGACCCCTCCTGCCTCAGTGACCCCTCCCAGCCCCCCACATCCCCCCGGGCTGACCGCAGAGCTCACCGAGCACCTGGCCGGCGATCATGCGCCCGTCCTCTCCGGCCACGGCGGCGCGGGCGTTGCGCTCGTTGACGTACTGCACGAAGGCGAAGCCCTTGTGCACCGAGCAGCCCACGATCTTGCCGTACTTGGAGAAAATGGCCTCCACGTCGCTCTTCTTCACCACCAGCGTGTTGAGGTTGCCGATGAACACCCGCGAGTTGAGCGACCGCGGGTCCGTCTTGTTGGTCACGTTGCTGGCCATGGTGGCGCGGGGTGGACGCGGGCCTGGGGAGGGGACGGCGGTCAGGGCGGGCAGGAGGGGCTGGGGGTGTCCTGGCAATGGCCAAAAATATCGTGGCAATGGCCAAAACCTTCTAGGAGCACCCRAAATGCTCTAGGGCCACCCAAGCACTTCCTGGAAACAGCAAAGAAGCTCCAGAAAACAACCAATGACCACAGAGATGCAACCAAGGGCCTTCCAGCCAGCGAAAAACACCCAGAACCACCCAAAAACATCCTGGAACCACCCAAAAATCATCTGCAATCAGCCTGAACTCCATGGGACCCCTTCTGGGGGCACCCACAAACATGGAACCATCCAAAAACCTCAAAAAAACAGCCCAAAAACTTTCCTGAACCACCCAACAGCCCCCAGAAAATCATCAATGGTTCCTGAAAACAAAAAAAACCTCCCAAACCCTTTAGGGTCACCCAA